ACAACCCTATAACTGCTTTTTTGATCCATTTTCAGAAAAATAAAAGTCTGCGACTATAATTTACGAAGTATGTCAATTCAATATTAGGTCATTTGGAACACATTTGACCGCTGGAGCATGGGCGCATATTGAACAAAAAATGTAAAATGAAAAAATTTGCGCAAATTTTGGAAAAAATTATACTCTTGGAGGTAATTTCCGAACTGTGTTTTTTTTAAAATAATTCTTTATTTATTTCAAGTTTCAATAATTAAACTTAACAAGTATAAATCCTAAAAACAGTGCTAATTGCTGCTGGAGATCGGGTTAATCGGATCAGCGTTTCCGTAAAAGACCTAAGAGCATGATAGCGCTGGATTGATGCTGCTGTCAGCAAAATTACCCCATACGAAAAAAAAATAATAGTTTTGGATGAATTCTGTGTCAAGTGTTGACGTCGATGACGACAATAAAGTTTAAATTATAGACCGCCTGGAGATAAAGTTATTGATTGCACATTTTTTTTGTTATTTATTTAATTGAATAAATGTAAATCGTTTAGCACAGTCGTTGATGTAAGCAAATAAAATGCCAATCCTTTATAACATTGACAGCATGCTCACAGGGGTTATTCGATCCCAAGCTGCATAATTAAATACTTGCTAGAACCACATCCCCTCCCGGTCACGGAAAAATAAAAGGCACACATTTTAAATAAAAAACATAGTAACATGCCACTGAGGACCATATTCTCCGTAGTTCATAAAGCCTGGCTTAGTGGAAACGCTTGGCTTTATGAAGTACGGAGAATATGGCCCTAAATGACCAGAAAAAATCATTTTAACAAAAACATTGAAAAAAATGGTGAGATTCGCAAAATCACCGCGGCGATGATTAAATTTAATCCAGGAAATAACTAATGAGGCAAAATTAACAAGATAAACAACGTCGATTATAATATGTTTTGTATTTAGTGGTTGCTTAGGGCAGAGTGTAAAATGTGTCATCGTCCTCCCCCCATTCACGCCGGTTAGAGGCCGGATGGTATCGGATATACCGTGGGGGAAAAGGGGACCTAGGAACAAATTCCCCAGCCAGTCGGTAAGTTGCACCAAGAGGAACAACAAGTACTACCCCAAAAGGGTACACGCCCAAAGTTCCTGTGTAACTGATGACTGTGGTCCGGAAACGCTCCAGGGGAAGGGAGCTCCACATTAAACTGTAGTGCCCGTCTTGATTAGACCTAGTAGTTAGAACAGAGAGGACGAAAATTAGCAAGCAAAGCAAGTTTTGCGGTTTTTTTTTTCTGGAGGGCGTTCATAAAAATATAGGGCGATGGTGATATAAGAGCGAGGTAAAATCACAGATTTACCCTAGTGATTTTCAGCATACTTCTTTGTGCGGCGACTTTAGAGAGCCCGGGGTGATCGCCGAATGCATTTATGAACGCTCACGTATGACGTCATTAATTTTACCTTGGCAGTTTTCGAACGCGTTTGGGTCACAACTCCTTATAGGGCAAGCATTTATGAACGTGCTCTGATGGCAGCACTGAAATTCGATCCCTTTTTCTATTTATACCCCTATACTTACACCTATTCATTAAAAATGGTCAAATCTTATTTTCGGCAGTTAATCACTTTTCAAATGGAACGGGGCGGCTAATTATCATATTTGGAAAAAGCATTTTGTAAAAAACAATTAAATACCACACAATCGCTAATAGTACCTATATTCAAGCATTAAGCTAAAATTTTAGAATAAAATTAATAGATAGCTTTGAACTAGCGATTTAGCAATGAGGAATTTGCAGATTTTTTTTTTATGCTCTTATTAAATTTTTCACATTGTAAAAAGTCACTTGCCACACAAATTTTAAATTTTCAACAAATAGTTTTTCTGTGAAAAAATATAGAAATTCAAAATAACTCTCTTCGCGCCAAAACGCACTTATAAATGAATGACGTCACAAGACGGTATCCGTCAAAACGAGTCTCTGTAATCCCTCTCTCTCTTACCCATTGTGTTTTGGCATTGGTTTATGCGACTATGTCGGGCATTGTCACTTTCCATTCACTAAACAAAGATAGTGTTACGTTGATTTTGGAAATAAATTCTCATCCAGTGAACTCACACCCTATACATTAAGAGAGAGAAAGATATAGTGTAGTAATGATAGTAACAAATATATATGGCTAAATAATAATTATAGCAATATCTAACTCATCGGTGAAGTCGCCGATTAGAATAAAAACGAGGGGTACCTTTGTTTAGTTAATAGAAAATGGCAATGACCGACATAGAATGCTGAATCCATCGGTAGAATTCGATGTAAGCACAAGCGTCTGACGGCTCCCGTATCACGTTAAGATAACCACACTTTTGTTTGTTCACCGTTCCATGACGTCATAACCAATTAGAGAGCGTTTTCGCGCCTTTTGTTATATTCAATATTTGAATAATTAATTATTTATTAGTGGTTCAGTATAAAGAGGATTTGAATATGAAAATACACTTCTAGAGTATTTTGCTTCACTTTAAATACATTTTGCATGAAAATAAAATTTTATGCAACTTCCTCATTGTGTGTGGTATGGTGTGTGGTATTCAATGGTTACAGAATGCCCTTTCTAAAATATTAGAAGTAAGCGTGTAGGGAATATAAAATACAAAAAAGACTCATAACAATTTCTAGGCCTTTGCAAAAGAAAGCATTTTAATTCATTCATATGGCGCTCTACAATCAAAATCTAAAAATGTATAAATGCTCTAGGTGTGAGTTTTGGTACGTTGTCAAAAGTGACAAATGAGTATCATGCCCTAATAACACAGTAACATCGCAGAAACATTCCAGAAACATCCATCAGGGATAATGAAGACGTCCCTGGGAGGTCCCTATTTTCCTGGGGACATCCCTGGGATGTTGCAGGCAACAGCCGTGTCATCATTTGCGATGTCCTATAAACATCTCTCAGGGATGTTTCTAAGATGACGCGGGATGTACCTAATACATCCGGGGCAGGTGTAAGAAACATCCTCTATATGTTTCTAGTATGACTTTAATACGTGAAAGAATTTTAGGATTATGGATTAAAAATTACCTAATTCAATAATTTTCAATTTTCGTTCTATTTTCTGGAAGTCAGATAGAACTTTTTCCAAAAAAAAAACAAAAATTGAAAATTATAAAATTAAGTAGGCACATCAGTTTCCAATAACATTTTTTATTGAAAAAATAAGGTACATGCATACTTATATTGATTATCTATCAACTAATAATAACCGACGGACAATTTTGCCTAAATAATGTAGTATTTATGCCCCGTCATGTCATCGAAAACCATAGTTTGGCAGTGGCAGCATGTTGTAGTGGGGGAGTTCGGCGTTTTCTTTTTTTTTTTGGTGCTCCAATTTCATAAAGGTACCATTAACTAACCAAAACAACCACAGAACCAAAATCCAAAGTTCTTGAAGTACAATTCAACTTGCACACCTAGAATGTAATCAACCATGAAAACAAAAAATAATTATTGGTTATTTTCTCTTACCTAATGAAGAATGAAGTTCGGGTTTTTAGGGGCTATTTATTAGAAAAGTTAGAAATTTCCTAACCGACGCCATATTGAAATTAAATAAACTAAACAATTGATAGTTATGCGACGTTATCTTTCAACAAATAATCTTTCTCACCAACTAATAAGCACTGGTAGGTCGCAGAGATCCTTTCGAACACAAAATGGCACAACTAGGTGTAGCGAAAAACCACAAATTGACAAATCCTCCACACAGCACGACGCCATTACGAAATAAAATTCCGCCCAACAACACAAGCGAAGCGCACAGGACGACCCGTTCGACTGATTCTGCCCGTCTGCGCTGGCTGCGGCGCCGACCCTACGTGGTGGCGTGCCCTCCTGTCCTGACCGGTACAAGTACAAATGCCTGAGCACGCGCCTGCGCCATACACTTCGGCTTCACGAATATTCACGATGTTTGAAAGTTGAAAAGAGAGAAGACTTTTATCAATACATATTTTATTTTATTCCAAGTTGTAAGTCGAATGAAAAATTAAATTTTGCTGTTGTTACAATACAAAATTAATATTAAGTACCTTATCTATATACATTACAGGTATATTATGGAATTTGAAATTAGTTTGTGTGTGTGATAGAGACATTTTCAGAAATCACACAAAATTGGCAAATTTAATACTGGGTCCTGCCGGTCTGAGGTCCTACCTAGTTTTGTAAAATAATGTTAGCCATTTTTCAGCTGTAATAAGTATCTAATTTTGAGAACGAAAAATCTTTTTGTCGATAGATATTTTCGAAAGGATGTTTCTAAAACATTTCAGGACAATCATCCTAGAGATGTTACATTACAAACATCGCAGCGATGTACCATTTATGTCGGAAACATAAGGACCTTAATGGTACATAAATAGGATGTTTCTGGGAGATCGGTGTTATTAGGGTGTACTCCTAAAGTAATTTTCCATAGAAATAACCTAAGATATACCCTGGTGTCTCCTTTAAAGTCAGGGTCTCTTCCGGTCCGGTCAAACCGTAAGTGACCAAAAATTATTGATCATAGGCGTTTTCTCGCGTCTCAAATGTTTCAGAACATTTTTCAAAACTGGTCTAAGTAATGCCACCGTGACGTCATAATTTCTCGGCGCGAGAAAATGGTTTGAAAACGAGGATTGGATTATATTTCGAAACGGTTTGAACCAATTTTGACGTGACGTCATGGGTTTATCGCGAGAATGTACTGTTTCAAAACAGTTTTGAACCAGTTTCAAAGAAGTGGACGCGAGAAAACGCCTCATGTCAATTATTGCACATTTTTGTCCTTAATCGACACACCTAGTTCTATTGGTTCTATTTGTGTTATGGCGGTGAGCGACTTTTGAATAACAGTCGGTATAATTAATATGAGCCTGTCTAAATTAAAATCAAATTGTTAAATCAAAATTACCAAAAGGTTTTTGTAAATATTCAATTACTTTTAACCCTTTCCTTCTTATTTCCGTACCGCCTATGAACTACATGCTCCGGCTTCTACACTGATTTTGCTGTTGTCCGGGAAATCAATAGGTTTCAAGTAAAAGTGGATAAGCCCGCATTGGCGTTCCCCAACGACCCAACCAAGTCTGGTTTAGATAACCTGGTTAGCGGCAGCGCGAAAACTCGCCTTTTGACAGTTGAGTTGTTTACATCTAGTTTTTGGTTATCATTTTGCTTTGTATTTTTTCATGTTTTTCCAAAGGTAAACATTATTCAATATAAAACATGTTTGTCCGATTCAAAAGTGTCGTTATGAGTGCCGTCAGCGGATTAGAAACAACTGATGGGACGATGGATGGCATTCAATACAACAAAGCAAAATTGGCCCCAAAGTTTCCCTATGGAAGGCCTCATTTTTTGCACCTAAACGATGAAGATGTTCAAGTTACCGCTGATCACAAAATGAGACATGTCGTACATCCAAGTAAACCAGTACTGCCCTATGATACAGGTTAGCCTAGACTTCATTTCATCCATGTTTACCTATATGTTTTGCAATCTCAGTAGGTAGTGGTACACTAGAATTTCATTCCTCCAACTTCCTGTTTAATGTATGGTAGGTAAATTGCGTTATACCACCCTCTAGTATCTATTCAATTTGTTCGTATGGTTTGGTTTGTTGACACGTATTGAATTAATGATAAGCGGGAGGATAGCAGTAATTTAAAGTGTTATTATTAGAACTCAAATGTTGATAACGAGGTTGAAGTAATTCACTAATATTCAATAAAATTGTATTAAAAATAGTAGCAGACTTGAACAGTAATGCCACATTACTGCAACACACCATTCAAACAAGAGTTTTATCTCTTGCATCTAGAGGTATTATTGCCACAGCTTTTATTGCCATCTGTAGGCGAAAAACAACTCAAAATTAAGTAATGTCTAAAACTACTTCTCTGTACATACACTTAACCATAACTAAACCTGAACATTGAAAACTATATTTAGAACTCAATCATCTAGAGTGAACAGCAAAACAAGCACTCAAACCCAGACCATTTATTGATAACAAAGTTTCTACATTCTTGTCTAAACACTTTTTTTGCTGGAAATACGAAATACTTCTAATTTCAGTAGGCCTTGGGATTCGTGTTGTATATCTTAGGAGCCAGATAGCCAAAAAATCTTTAATTTGAGCTCCTATTACTATTGGGAACTACACTACAAGGTGTTTGTTAGTCTTATTTCTTGTACCTAACCAAAATGGTGATCTACATACTCCGTTAATTTGGTTTTTCTACTATAAGAACTTAAGTCCAAGACATATGGAGAGCCAACATTCAGGATATCTCTCGGGATATCTCTAGGGTATAACAATCGGATAGGGAATGGTTTCTTTTTTTTTTATTATATTTAGCTCGATATTTAGTATGTAACTTTGAACTACATTTAAAGATCTCAAGGAGCTCTGTTACAAGACAAGCCACCCCATATGACGAGTCCATCAATCAAGGATTCCACCAGAGCTTCATAAACATTGATAAGCAGATTCAAACCCAGTATATCTCTCATAATATAGAATGTATGTATGAATTTTCGAATATTGCCAGTTGGTCCCATTTAAGTTCATTTATCAATAATGATACCCAAATATTTAATATTAGTCACCTAGCAGATTTGATCGTTCATGTTATCTATTTCAATTCTATCAAAGTTTATTAGTTTGCCAATGTAAGAGAAAATGCAATGTTCTATTAATATTTAAAGTTAACTTAAAGGCGTCTAGCCACTTTGCTATAGTGTCTATTCCCAATTTTGTCTCCCGTACATCTGGCAAGGACTTACCAAAGAAAACCACCAATGTATCATCAGCTCGATCATCAGGATAAGAGATAATTGACCCGTTTAACAGCTTCTGGGAAGTTGAGTAGTTTATTATTTAATAAATAAGTAGTATAGGGCCTAAAACAGTGCCTTGAACTCGGCCTTGAGGGACACCAATGGTTCACTTGTGACTTCACCTATTTTTACAACTTGAGTCACTTCATGCATGGAGATCCTAGAAATCCCCAACACTGGGCCTCGCACACCATAGGCGTGTAACACATTTAACAGTTTGGTGTAATGCACAGTGTCAAAGGCCTTCACTAAGGCCAAGAAAACTATCAGGCATTTACCTCCTTGATCTAGAAAATGCCCGGTTTTAGATTTCATTTGTAAATTGCTACTTGTCTCATTTTTAGTTTCATTAGTAGCTTCTGACACCAACTTATATACCTATCTTTTTTCTGTCTCCCCTACTGTATCAAATTTTTGTTTCATAATATTTATTCCGAGATTCACTCACAATTTTTTAGTAATTTTGTAATCATTGTTACTATAGGCTTTGTATCTATGTATTAGCATCATGTAAATTTCAATCACCAACCAAGCAATTTTTCCAGCTACTTGCTAAAGGTCTTCTCAATAATTAATCACACTTGTATCATCATCTTGAGGGCTGAGTTCTAAGAGCGCTGCTCACTGCTGCGTCAGATGAGTGCGAACTCTGCCTTTTGTCAATTGCTGGTTATTTTATTTCACTCTTTACTCTGTTGCTGTATCCTGTATATTAACCAACGATTATGGCAATAAAAGCATTTATTATTATTATTATTATTATCTAAAATGATACTATTTTTTAATAGATATTAGATGATGGTAATAAAATAAGAAAAGTAGGTAGATGTGTTTGAAACGCACTCTTTCACACTATGAACAATGTTCCTCGCAACAACTCAGTGACTAACTCATTGAAAACATAAAATCTCCACTTTTTCCTTGATCCTCAAAGTGGTTCAGGGGGACCATAATTATCATCACCCGCCATGTTGCCAATTGTAGGTACTGAAATACCTATAAGATAACAATATCAACATCAATATTACCACAGGTTTTTTTTTACAGAGAAAAAATTACAATCAAATTGAGATACACACCTAGCAAACATAGCATAAAAACAAGCCACAATCCAGGGTAAAGACCAAACAGGGTATCAAATTTACCTAAGCATCTTCCTTGCGAAAATCTTTCAATAACTAAGTACTTCTTATGCATTTTAGACCCTATAAAATTTAACTTTCTAGGAAAAAACATTCATTACTCTAGGCTGTTACTCTGAAATGATATATTGAAGTTAGAATTTTAAAGAACACTTAGCAAAAGCAATAGGCATTCACAAAGTAGGAAATTTATTGAAGCGGTCAAAAGTCTAGGACCATTATTTTTGCCACCCTCTCTTACCAATGTATGTTCAAGGTTTTCTTTTCTCTAACTAAGAATATTGAATTTAAAGGTTACGCTGAATGTATTAATGCTGGTAAATCAAGATGGAACGAGGATCAAGCTGTACATACACAAGGAGTTCTAAGTAAAGTTAGTCAATCCGAAATTGGAAATGAGCAGAAATTTTCAATACCATACAGTTACTTTGGAGTATTTGATGGTCATGCTGGTGTAGGAGCAGCTTTGTGTGCAGCTAACCAGTTACATCACATTATACATGTGAGAATCTCTACTTTTTTTTTAACTGAATAAATGTTTAATCTACTTTCTTTTTAGGAAAAACTCGTAGATGCTCAAGATGACATATGGATTAATTTTATTGAAAAAAATTTACCAACAACAAAGCCCCGTGATTTATTGATTATTGGTGCTTTAGAATCTGCATTCAAAGAAATGGATCAACTTCTCCTAGAAGATCGCAATAAATATCAAGCAGCTGGTGGATGTACAGCAATAGTTGCATTATTTATTCTTGGAAAATTGTATGTAGCAAATGCCGGTGACTCTCGTGCAATAATTTGTAAAGATGATCAATATTTTCCAATGTCTATGGATTTTACACCTGAGAATGAAAGGGATAGAATAAGAAGACTTGCACAAGAACAACCCTTTTTATTAGGTAAAGAATTCACTGCCAATGAATATCTTGGACAACCGAAGTCTAGTGATTTAGGAAAAACCGTTATGTATAGGGATGCATATATGAAAGGTTGGGCTTATAAAACTCTACAACCTGAAGATCTTAAAGTTTCAGTTATTACAGGACATGGAAAAAGGGTAAGAAAGAATTACTTTCTGTTTAAATATATTTTATTATTCAAATGATTACACACCCAAGGATTTGAATGTGAACTTGCAATTTAAAAATGTAATTATTATTTGAATTATATTGAGCACTTTGGAAGTTGAGTAGTGTTATAAATCATACAGAGTGCGGTGTTACCAAATTAAATTTTCTGATTTCAAATATATATGGTTCAACTACTTCAAATTGAGCCGTTTTGGAAATATCGGGCTCTGAACTTCAAGAAAATAATACATCCAACTAAGCATCTTGATATGCGGTGTATTATTATTGTTTGACATGGCACTTGAAGTTTAGAGCCTGATATTGTCAAAACGGCTTAATTAAAAGTAGTTTCATTATGTGTATATATTTGATATCAGAAAATTCTACTCTTTTCAACTATGAAGTCTTATAGGGTGTTCTATAAGAAAAAACTGAACATCTGCCAAAATTTGACATTTCTAAAAAAACTAAAAAGTTTTTGGCATCAGATTCAAAAATTTCAGGTCAACCCCCAAAACTTTTGTATTTACAATTTTTGGACATCTCTTCACATAACCCCTGTAGTGAAGGTTATGTGATGATGATCACATTTTTGAGCAGAAACGTCGGCCAATCATACTTAAGATGTATATCGTTAAAAAGGGAATAAAGGGCGCTTTCTAAACATGACCTAAAAAATACAGGTATTAAATAAAATAAAGTTGATGATGGTAGCTTGATCATGAAACGTCGGATTTGAAATTTGAAGATGTCATGTTGTGGAGCGAAAAAATTTATAAAACTTCAAAATTTAAATTGTGTCTTGAAAATCAATAGTTTTCGAAATAATTGATGAAATATTTTTAGGCGTTTCTTAGAAACCACCCTACATTTCATAAACTAAAAGGAATTTGGCAACACTGTAAACGAGTCTTGAATGGGCATCAGAAAAGGCAATTTTTAATTTTTTTCTAATTCAACCGACCTTGTAGCTCTCACCATTTCGGATATAAAAATAGTGGTATCACTTAAAATATACTTAAAGTATATCAATATAACTCTGCAAATATTGATCCCAGAAAAAAATTACTTGTATGAAAATCCGAGTAAAAATCCTTACTTCTGTGTTCTGAATATACACCAAAGCCATTAACCCTTTTCACGTGGCTCCGGTTTAATAAACCGCAACATACCGCTCAAATTCGAGTGGTAGGTATCCATCACGTCACTTTGTAACCGGGTTAGAAAACGGTATGTCATTTCTCTAACCGTTTTGTAACCCGGTTAGTTAAACCGGAGCCACGTGAAAAGAACTAACGCGTTCCAGCATAGTTCACATGTGCCGTTGGCTAGCGTTGAAAATTCGGTCTGTACGCGGCTTTACATGTGTTTCTGAATGCATACTGTGTTATTAATTTCTATTTTAAAAACCAAACTAACCTTCCCACAATCTAACATTGGTGAGTTTACACTGCCGTTCAGAGCAATTCAAAAGGACATCTATTTTTTTGGTAATTTGTGCTAAAAAAGTTGTCTAAAAATCTTTAATTTTGTATTCCGGGTGGATTCACCGAGCTTATATGGAGAGATAGAGTTTCATAATAATCCCACCGGCTTTAGGAAGCATGATGTGTCAATTCATGGAAATGCTTGTGGTTCCAGTTTTGACTATAAAGGACAATACTGTTGAATGCATTTTTATCTATGTATACAGCCAAACAAACCAACCTACTAGACACATAGGGCGATTCGATGTTTGACGTTCAAGATGGCGCCGCGGCATAACAAACTTGACGTCCATAAGAGACTGTGTATTTTCCTCATATTTTCTGTGAATTTCTAAAGTGTTTTTATCAGTTTTTTGATAGACATTTTCATTTTTGGCGTAGCTGTGATTCATGTAATTTATGTTTTTGACATTCGTTTGCACCTTGCACAGCTTCTTGGGGTCCGTTTTGTACCTGATGGTCAGGTATTATATTGGTAGATAAAGATTCCAAGTAACTCGGTTTTAACTACGAACATTAAAGGAAATTGAAATAAATTGAAATGCATCAAATTAAACTCTGAAATAGGTAGAAATAACACAAATTTATATGGAGACAATGTTTGTTTACATTTGGGGCCGCATCACCACTTGAATTATCAGCTGATTCGAATCGCCTAATAGGCACAATAAAACGAATGAGCTAGTAACCGGTCTCAGCGAATCGGAGTGGTACTGCTGAAGCCGAGCTGTTAAAGCCGAGTATATGCGAGCTGCCGAAGATGCATGAGTTTTGCTTACTTGCAGTGACATGGTTATCAGTCAACTGGTCCCATTGAAGCCTATGTGTCTAGTAGCTTGTTCGCATCTGTATATAGAGCATCTTTATTATTCACTATTTTGTGGTCTTTATTTTTCAGAGCAGAGTCATGGGTACTATAGGTGTGACTCGTGGTTTTGGAGACCATGCCCTAACTTCAGTATACCAAAAATTACCAATAAAACCATTTCTATCCTCACATCCCGAAGTTCTAGTTCACACTTTAGCAGCCACTGATGACAAAGAAGTTTTAGTTATTGGCACTGATGGCCTTTGGGACGTGGTCGATGGAAACAAAGCTGCTAAAATCGTTTCAAACTCTATAAATACTTTTAAAGACAATAAATATGTAAGTGCGGCCACTTGTTTGGTAGGCTTTGCCAGGGGATCTTTGAAGAACTCTTGGCAATTGAAAACTGGTAAACCAGCTTCTTGTGATGATATTTCAGTATTTGTTATTCCTTTGTTACCCTACACACTTGAATATAAAGAGTTCCTTAGTAAATGTTCAGGTGTTTCTGACAACATAAGTGAACCTACTAGTATGGACACAAGCGAAGATGCTAATGACGTTACTGACTGTTAAGATTGAACTTTTAATCAATCAGAAGTAATATTTTCCTTATTTTATTATTATTGTTCAAAATGTGTTACTTAAAAAAGCATTCCTTCGGACAAATATTGGTGATAATATAAAATTTTATTTTTTGGGTTCCTGAACAATTTTGGGTTAAGAGTAAATCGGAACCAATAGAGCAACTGTATAAAAAAAATATCTTGAAAAATTATCACAACGTTTATCTATGGCTCCAAATTTGGTTTAAAAAATGTGATGAATATTGGTGCTTTATGGCACAGCTTTAATATTTCAAGTTTGGTTAGTTTGTTTCAATAAACAAACTGCATATTTTTCAATTTCAGCTATGTTTTTTCTCAGTAACTTAAATAGGCTACTGAGTACTGGTAATTTATTATGAATTGCTAGCAATTAGATGAACAGGATATAGTTGAATTAATGCTGGATCCTGGATCGTTGTTGATTTTGATAAAACAGCAATAAAGAGTACTTTATGAAAATTTTTTGTGACAATATATTTTGTCAAAAACTCCATTCATATCTCATTTTGCAACAGTTTCTCATTACCTATACTCTAGCCAAATTTTAGGCGAAGTTACAAGTGTCAAGTAGTGAGCTAGTACTGCATTTTGGTTTGGCAACACCTCATTTAAGAAGCATCTTCAAATTAGTTGACATATGAAAATATTGATAGGTCTGGCAATATTCTTATACATTGAGACTTTTAATAGCAACCTATGTATGATATCAACAATCTTCGACAGCTTGAAGCAGCAAGACATTATGCAATTCGTTATATAATGCTAGACATGGTGAGACCTCTGAATAGACAAATTGTTCGGCTTGGATGAACTACTCTAACGAATTTTGTGCTATCCGTTCACATAATTGATTGCTATATGATTGATGGATCATATTATTTGCCATTGAAACGCACTGTGTAGAGCAGAGCAAACATTTAGAAAATTAGTTCTAAGGAAAATTATTATAGACTACATTGGAAGCCTGAATTCGGAAATCTTCAAGTCAAGGGGAAGCACAAAAGGTTTATGCCAGTCCCAAGCCTGGGTAACAGCAGAGACAAAAAGAACACCCATGGTGGCTGATTCTCGAGCCAGTGAGTGGAGCTCCCCGAGAGAACAAATTTTTTGTCCTTATCATTCTCGTTTACTTTTCGATTACGTTGACAAGGACAAAACATTCGTTCTATCGGGAAGCTCTACTCCCTTAAACGAGAATCCAGCCCCTGGAAGGTAACAGGTGCCTTGTAGTAGGTATTGGCACTGAGACTCATCAAGGCTGTTGGTAGTGCAATAAATAAAGATAGTGTACAATAGTGTCATTTATTTTTGTCAAGCCTGTTCTTCAAGATATTCCTTTTTGGGGCTTGGATAGTTTCTTCATTGGCATTCGATCTGTACAAAACACAGTTTGTTAGGAAGCTTTTTCGCATAAGCACCTTTTCTCTGTTTTTAAATTTTTTGAGTGTCCTCTGAATTGGTTAGTATTTAAAGTACAGAAATTAAGATTAAGGTTGTAGCAGTAGTTCTTATTTAGGATTTTAGATGTTTGAATCAAGTCTCCTCTCTCTTCTTTCTTTACGTGTGGTTACTCCAGGGCGCTCTTCGTAGGGTGGGTTTGTTAGAGCTGTGGGGATATTGGTGAACCTCCTCTGACCTCTTTCCAGGGCCTCTATATCCTTTGAGTAGTACAGATTCCACACTTCATGAGTGTATTCAAATATTTTGCTTTTTGTGAGGTTCCCATTTTAGGTCTGCCCATGTTATTATTTCAAGGTCCTTTTACACCTCCATACTTTTAATTTTCGTTCCTGCAAGGTGTATGAGTGTTGTGTGGGTTTTTTGCTCCTACGTGCAGGCTGGTGCATTTCTCTTCATTTAACTTGGGTAACCAAGTCTCATTCTAGGGTTCGGTTGCTGTTATCTCCTCGATGAAAAGTGTTAGGTCTATGGTGCGATCACTGAACCTTTGCGGTACTCCACTGTTGACTTGTTAGGTTATTTTTGGGTTTAATTTTCCAAGATTTTAAATTGGCTTTTATTGAAAATATGTCTAAAAATAATCTTTTATACAGTTCTTGTCCAGTAAGAAAGATATTATTCTGTTGTTCTTGAGTATATTTGAACCAATGAAATTAAGTGGTTTTGTTTTTTAAGCTATGTTTCGAAAAAATTATTCTCTTCTTCAGGCTGTCTTGTTTCGATTGGTTACAGCTTGAAGAAGAAAATAAATTTTTCGAAACGTAGCTTTAAAAACAAAACCACTTGGTTTCATTGGTCCAAATATGCCCAAGAACAACAGAATAATATCTAAAAATAATGCTTTTAATGGTTATATTACTTAATTCAATTGAAAAATGTTTGAATGAAAGACTGAAAGTATATTAGCATAAACGGGTATAGACTGACTTTTGGAATCTATGTAGTAAATGATGAATTTGTTTTGAATACGGCACAGCGAAGTCGATCCTGTGAGGAACATATAATGTATCAAGGTCTAAAATGACGTCTCACAGGAAACTGGGTAACCAATAGCAACTCCAGACTTTGAAAATTCCTGATTTGTATTGTTTACGTTGTTGGCATTTGAGATTCGATTTGGTTAGAGTATAGGAACAACAAAATCCAGACACAGTTATTCATAGAAAAATTAGTTTGCTAAAGAAGAAACTAATTGGCTAAATAATTTGAGAAAACATGAGCTAATTAAAAAAAAATATATATATATCAATAATTATGAGTTCGAATCCTATATTCTGGGGCATGAGCAGAATAACTACACTTGATCCGATGTTATTTTATGCTTTTGTTCAGTATTTTTTAGTTTTTTTTAATGTGATATATAATTAATTGTATGAGTGGACACCAGCTTTTGATAATATCAAGTTTATTTGAAAGTGATTTGTCTAGTTTCAAAAAAAAAATATGTACTTGTAAGAAAAATTTGTAATATGTAATTAAATTCGCGGAAATAATCAAGATATCAAAGTGTGCAATACTTTGTTGAATTTGTTTAGATTGTTTTTTTATTTTTGATTTTTATATACATTATAGATAAGAATTTGTACAAGCAGCATTCTATTATATCTTTAGAATATTAATCATAACTTTAGAATAATTATTATTTTAAAAACGAACAAACCCTATAGTTGATACGATTTACATAAACCCCAAACAAAATGTGTGGGAGAGTTAATTTTCATTTGTATTTACACTACTTTATTTACCATAGTTTTTTAAAATTATTATTTGCTGTATATTTGTTGGACCTAGTCTTGATTTATTGATCAAAATAAACAATATTATTATTAATTATTGAGTTTTTCTTTTGTCATTCTAATACTCAGCGCATCAGTGGAACATTTTCATTTTGCATGATTTTTTGAAGCAGTCCTGTACATAAAAAGGACGGGGCTTCAAGAAGAATGAACGACAAATAGACTCACAAGAAACTCGAAATCAAACAACCAGTCTATTAATTCAAAAAATAAGAAAACATGTTTTTTTTTTCAACTAACCTTGGGATCAAGGCTATTTTTTGGCGAGCTTTATCGCCTTTACAAGAAATTTTAAATAAAAGCTCACACATTGTTTGGTTGGAGAATTTCGTACTTCACAATAATTTTAGTGTTGCTGAAAAATTAAAGTAATTCACCAAGATATTTCTGAAAAACACTTTTATACCTTGGAGAAAAAAGCACACTACCAGTAGATTTTTTGGACTTTTTTTTCTGATTCAGCCCTTTTATTTGGAACTCACAGAAAAGTATTATAAAAAAAACAACAAAATCAACTATTATGTTCATTTTATTCAGTCCCATATTTCCTTCAACACAATAATTACAATTATTCTTATACTAACAAACGCTAGAAATAAGTACCCTACCTTGCTTATTCATAGTAGGACCTAGGACCATAGAAAATGTTTCAAATGACAAAATATGAGGAATTTTACAATAAGCAAACATGATAGCGCAAATCAATAGATTAGGCAATAGTTTTTCAAGACCCTCAATTATTTATACATACATATATGTATAGGCTGCATAATTGATTGGATTAAAAAAAAAACACTCAAATATGGAAGCTGCTTTGAAAAATAACTGTGGTCATTTTGAGAATGGATTATTCATAAATTGTCGACTTATTAATTTATAAATGTATATTTTGAATCTAGAATAATTATAATTACTCTGATCTACTTTCTAATTCTTATGGCCTAATATAACATTGAAATGTATATAATATATAAGTATGTAAAATATTCACAGTCATGTTCTTTGGCAATAAGTTTAAACGATTATCTCAAAAAAAATAATGAAATAAAAAACGAACATCAACAAGAAACAAAAATATTCAACAAAAATCCTGTAAAAATATAAAATTATTAGTATTGCACTATACGTTCCTTTTTAAGGAGTAGATTCTAAGATTAATAACACATTATTCATTATAGCTGAGCAATGAAAGTGAAATAATTCAAAAAGTTAAAATAGATACATAGACTATTATTATAAATATGGCATTTTCTCCCCTTCTCCTTATTTAAAATATTGTATCCAGTTTTATCTGTACAATAATTATTAAGTAATGATTTTTTTGCAGTTTATTGGAAGCATGTTATAACCGAGCCCTCAATATTAAAAATGCAATATTTTTTTAATGTTTCAATATTTTTGATTTCATTTTTTTGTACCATTAAATATATTTTTTTTATTATTCTGATGCTCAAAGTTTGCATATTTTTAATTTAGGGTTACTGTTTTGATTAATGGTAAGTCAAGTTATTACATGTTAATCAATATTTTATACAGAATATTTATATTATGCTAAAGTTACAGCCTATAAGTTAATAGAAAGTTGACTGCATAGTGCATATAGACGGTGTCTATTTGAAAACCTCCTACACTTTACCACATTAAAAGAAAATAATTTCAAAGCGGGCAAATTCTCACACAAAAGTCTCACTCACCCCATACCCTCTCAAAAATAAATGGGTAGCGGGAGGTTTTGTTATTTCTGATTTGGAGACGTAGCAAGTGGCAGAACTATGGTCCAAAAATGTTAAAGGAGAAGTTTCACAGAAAAGTGAAAGGTAAATCTAGAACATTGCAATGCCTGCCACTACAATGGCATTGACTTTTAGTTAATTAATATCTAAATAAAATGTATATAATTTCACATCTCTAATGAAAGCCCATATTATCATCATCCAGTGTACCTACTTCAATGAGAGGTCTCTGCCGTCAGAGTGGTTATTTCTATCTCATCAACAAGTTCATTATGGCTGCAGTCTATAATTTACTCCTGACAACTCCCAATAAAAACGAAACGCGCATGAATTGAATTGGAAATATTTCATCCACAGTATGTACAATGGATGAGTTCTTATTTCTCAGGCAGGAACTGCAACGTCCTTTACTTCGCGTTAGTAAAAGGCTATCCTGATAAATTTCATCAAATTCGAGGCCGAGTTAATTTTAGTTTTTACCTTCCTTGAAATTATATTATATTATTTGTGCCTTCCACCGATTTTTTAAATTTTTTCGAAAATTACCTATAAAAGTAGGAATTTAAGAACATTTAAATTCTGAGTTTGAATTGTGCAGAATTTAGCGTAATATTTCAAAGTAATATAATTAAAATTAAATTGTAATTTTTTATATACAGATACAGAATATACAATCGTCAAAGAAATCTTTATCACCTTAAAACTAGAAAATCCAATATATATTCAACTTCTAATATTTCAAATATAAATGATATGTTTTAAAGCTAGTTGCTACAATTGAACTTATCTTTAGAAGGTTATAATATTTAGCCAAAATATATTAACGTATGTTTCATAAGTTAAAGGTATGTCGAAAAGATCAAAGGGCATAGAATTTTGATTAATATCTGAGAAATTGCGTTTATCCAGACCTCTATTATCAAACGTGCCCAAATAAAATTTTGCCTCGTGGAGCAGCGCAGGTCGATTGGTATAATAGAATTTAGATTTCAAATAAACTTGGTACCTATTCTTTATAAAACGAAAATTTTTTTTGTTTTAAAAATCCTATTTTCTGATGAAACTTGTGAAACACACGTTAATTCAGCAAAAAAGAAATGTAATAGCTTGACTTTTTTTATTAATACATATTGAAAATTAATTTTCTGACAACTAACTTACGAGTGTGCATATCACAAGAGTTGTGCGATAACTGGTTGCAGTAAACACATATGTTCAGCCCCTCTAATAGGTAATCGATTCATTGAAAAATGTTTTATCATTTCCGGAATTGTGGTAAAAGGTTTGCTAAATTGTCCCAAAATAAAGCAACTGTTCTCCCTACTCTTCTGTATTCTCATGTGCATAAAGCCTCTTGCACTCCTAAAAAAAATATAATATTTTTCAATAATTTTATTTTAATAATAAATAATTCACGAAAAAAAAACAGAGAAGAGTACTTAGCGTACTCAACTACTTCTGAATACTTTGCTCGCAGCACCTCCTGCATGGGGTGTTTATTAATGTAGAATTTGTAAGTTTCGCGACCCTGTTTTTTTTTTTCAATAAATATCTATTAACTTAGTGCTATAGTTTCAGCTATTTAGTAGGTAATTAGCGAGAAAATTTGTAGATTGCTATAAGCTAATTAGCGAGAACAAGTGGACTTTTGTAGACCTGAAACAGTGACTTTATAACTGGATTTGACTCCGAAAACAAACGGATTTTCTGAAAAATTTCAGAAAATTTTATACTGTTCTATTTGGGAATTAGACAAGAAATATACAGAGTATATTTTGGTAAATACACGACAGCCAATAACCGTTGGACCAAATGGAGTTAATCGAATGTTGGTGGACTTTAAACGAAAAATATCAGAGACAAGAGACAAGAAGAACAGGAAAGGCTTGCAGCACTATTACAACAACAAGAAGATCGGAAATCAGAAAAAATGCAGGAAGAAGAAGACCGAAGACAGAAAGTCATAAAGAAGAAGAGACGCCAAGATAAGAACAGGATCTGCTTGCAGAACTTCAACACTAACAAGAAGATCGAAGACCTGGGTCCTTATTCTTGAAATAGGGGAAAAGCGTTCCCAGGAGAACGAGTGTTTCGTCTTTCTCAAAGATATGCAGCGCTTTAACACCGAAAAGAAGATAGAATATCGAAAGAAAAACAAGAAGAACAGGACCGGCCTCAGGTAAGTTTCAAATTTCCTGCAAAATGGATTCAAAAAAAGCGATGGAAGAAGTTTGTGGAAAAGTACGTAAATAAATTGGGAGTGTTCGTCAGAAAGTTAAAACTTTTTGCCCAGAAATGTGTTCAGTACAAAATTGAAAAGTTGGAATGTGACTTGAGATCATCAAATGTTTCAGCTTCGCCTGCAACCGGTATGAACTACGTGGGCGGATGGTTGGATATTTCCCTATTGACTAAAGTGTGCAGCTGAAGGCAGCAAGTCAGTTCAAATTAGAGAATTGATCTTATAAAGTAGAGTAAAAGCGATAACTTATAAGTGATTTTTTTAAATTCAATTAGTTCAATGAAGGTTGTTGTTAACAAATGTGAGTTTCAGTGGACCAGCGAAATCCGTGACATTTCCAGTGAATAGGTACAACATGTTTATGTTTGAACTGCTGTATATTTTCTTATGGGAGCTATTGGGGGGAATTAGTTTGGAGAAAACATGGGAGAAATATACCAATAATAAACGCAGTAAGTAAATCGAAAGTACAAATGGCAAAATTGTATCGCAACTACGATGGGTACAAAATTATTCTCAAGTACTTTGAGTTAGTTTAGGTAGTGGAATAGAAATAGTAGCAGTACAATTCACTCAAGTATACCTACCTACATTTCTCAACAATACTTACTTTAATGACAAAGAATAGTCATTTTTTATTGACTCGCTATTTCGGACTAAAAAGCTACCTTCTCTCAGAGATCTCAAGACATTTTCTGCTTCTACTCTTGTAATTGAACCATGAAACCATCTAGAAAAGAAAATCCAAAAATTTGCTTCAAGAATTTATGTACCTATACTTACCCCTGTTTTTCCAAAGGTAAATTTGTATCAATACTATCACATGTTGAGGGGTTGAAAAAATTACACTGGGTACTTGTAGAAGCGCCATCATTCATTCCCATTCCTGTTAATGTCAACCCTAGTCCTGATGTTTTACGATTAGCCATATCACCTAAATTTAGTGTTAATTTAGGTCTTGGATGGCCTAAAATAAGCTTATTAGATAAAAATACAATTTATGACAAAGAAAAGTACATTACCTCTGTTCATTTTTAATACACTTTGGCTTGATGATGCTTGATATATAGTATCTTCTAAATTTCCAGTTTGAAGTCTCATGCGTCTACGTAATTTTGGCATATCAAACGGTAAATCTCTGAGATCTATGGAAGTAGCACTACCCGAAGTACAAGCGGTATCTGGAATAACTCTGCGCCTTCTAAGCTTGGGCATATCGAATGGAAGATCAGAAAAATCTGGTTGAGATGGAGGCGCGGACAAATCGGTCGTGACAAATAAATATCGAGATTTATTAACACCTAAAATATAAATTTTTTGATTTAAAATAAACGCTTTATGAGAATAATATGTACCTTCTCGACTTTGTATGGAAATTCCACTGTCCGAACCTTGTATTTCAGGCCTATCCTGAAAATTTAAACTCAAAAGATTTTTATTCTGAGGAAATCTTTTCTTGATAATTTTAACTTCAGTTATACTACCAGCTGCTTCATTTTGCCCTTCAGGTGAACATTTCTGAGAATTGTTGTTTCTATTATTGTCGGAAGTTTCAGAAATTGGTTCCTGAGACGATTTATCCGAAATGGGACTTAAAATATGGAGTTTATTGCTTACTTGCTGAGTAAGGAAATTACTTTGAATTGTTGAATAGCTTTTTGGACGGACACCTGAAATTATTTACTTGTTATGTATTCTAAGAGTAATAATTTTGTCTCTTACTGCCTGAATCGGAACTGTGACTACTTAAGGATGCGGATTGATGACTTGATGAACTGCTAGTGCTCCTATTGCCCTCACTGGTGCTACTTTTGATGCTTTCCATACTTCCTCCGCTGCTACTTGTTATAATGCTCTCCGTCGATGAATATTTATGTCGTATTCTTCTGATTATACTGTCTTTAGTTCGTTTTGGAACCATTAATAAATTGGGCTTAGGCCTACTTTTTATTTCCCCGATTCGTTCCTGGAATAAATGAACGAAAATTCAGTTAAGTAGTTGTTGACTAAGACTCTAAAAAGTTTTTCACAAAACTTTTCGAACAAATAATGAAATATACCAAATTATTTTAAACAACTTCAAAGGAATTAAATTAATTTTAATAAGTTCAGTATATCTTGTTGTATTTCTTTAAAAAAAAAACAGATAAATATGACTTTCATTGCTTATAAAGATGACTTTAAAATAACAGACACTAGTATAAGCCACTTTATGTTATTTTATGCTCAATGCCGGACCCATGAAATATTGTTATTGGAAACTCTTATCCAGAGATAAAATATAATATGCTCGATTTTTTCTGCTGAATAATTTTTATAAACCAAATAAACAGAAGATTAATAATCACTTCTTAGTGCAATACTTTGATAATCCTACAAATATTCTTCATTAAATTTTCACTTGAATGATAAAGTTGTGATGATTTGACACTATTAGCATACTTTGTCTGTTTTTTGGCAAATAAAATAGGCACCGTGTCACTTTGCTACGGTCTCACGAGATAACATTCTTACAGACACGTTTCACCGTTCAGAAAAGAAACAGGACTTCTGTTTCTGTATACCTACAAAGTTCTTACCATTTCTCCAGTTTGTTCTCTAGAATTGCCAGGTCTTCCCCTAAACTCAGAAATATGAGGAGCTGAATTTGAACTATTACCAAATTCAATTTCAAAGGCACTTCCTTGTCGAATTTGCAAAGATCCACTGCTGGATGCTGAAGAGCGACCTTTCAAAGATTTGACAGGCAAACTGATGTCTTTCATGCGAGTTTTTGAAGGCAAGTTAGGAGCACTTCTTATACTGTTCATCATTAATTCTTTGCCTGGAAATTTTGAAGGTAAGGGCGCGGTTGATGGTGGGGACGGGATGTAACCGCAGAGAAGCATACTGCCTATTGAGGTTGCTGTGTCTTCAGTCGTTAGATGCATATTCTGAAAAAATTAACATTTCACTACAAATATTATTCTATAGGATAGACTATAATTGTGCTTTGGACGGTTTAGTACGAAAATTAATATACATTGAGTTTCACGAACATCGAAACAGAGGCGTTTTAGGGTATTTTAAGGTCGATTAAAAAAAAACGCTCGGACACGTCATTTTTGTATTCAAGTGGGAAACTTTTTGACTCCATCGGTATTTTGCTAGGGTGCACCCCCTGGGTGGGGTGACTTTCACCCCTCTTTTTTGGATAGGAAAGATGGGTCGAGTGGTACCATGTTTTAAAGGTATTTTGATTCTCGTCACAACTGGGTATTGTTTTTGAAAATCGAATGATTATGTCAGATATTCACTGTTAAAGTTGCCATGGGCGAAATAAGAAACAATCTTCTGGTCCTGTTATTATCAAATTAACACTTTCCTTACTTTCCTCTCGGACACGTCAATTTTTATTTTTTGTGTGCTTCTGAAAGAATGAAAATTGACGTTTCCGAGATGGAAGTCAGGAAAGTGTTAATTTGAGAATAACAGGGCCAGAAGATTATTTCTTATTTAGCCCATGGCAACTTTGACAGTGAATATCTTGAAAACTAATCATTCGATTTTCAAAAAAAAATACGCAGTTGTGACGAGAATCAAAATACCTATAAAACAAGGTAGGCACCACTCGACCCATCTTTCCTATCTAAAAAACAGGTGTGAAAGTCACTCCACCCATAGGGTGCACCCTAGCAAAATACCGATGGGGTCAAAAAGTTTCGTTCGTTTTGTTTAAATCGACCTTAAAATACCCTAATACGTCTCTGTTTCGATGTTCGTGAAATACCCTGTATACCTAGGTACCTACCGTTCTATTATTAAAATATTTATGTTCAGCACTCGTGGGTAGGTATACTTTATTTTTAATTACCGAATTTCTGAAAGATAATTCTGTACGGATACAACAAATTAACCAAACTGAGTTTTGAGTCACTCCTGAGTAGCATATTGGATGCAGGTTTTAGATGTTAAAAATGATAATTTTAGATTTGAAAACATCTTTTTTCTAACATATGCCAAATCAAACTAATGCGATTTTCAAATATTTATTTTTCGAGACCAAAAAATTGGATCTCGTGTTGTGGTCTTACCTGGAGATTTTGGGATAAATTTAAAACTTGATTATTGTCTTCTTTCTCATGGCTCGGCTTAATTTCTTCTTTTTGCTTTGTTTGAATAGTTTTATTAATTGTTAAGTTGCTTCCTTTGGATGGCTCGGATCCATTATTACACTGTAAAAGCGCGGGGTGATTTATTACACGTTCAATTTGATCGAGGCCGTCATCAGATTTGCTAATGCGACAGTCAAAAGCTGTTTCGTAGACATGCCTTTGTCGGGTCATGTCGTCTAATCCATCGTCGGGGAAACAGAGAAGATCTAAAACACTGTCAGATGCCTTCTGTATCTCTTTAGGCTCGTTTGAAGCATCTCGAGATGACGTACTATGACTGTCGATTGATGAGAATTTTTTATGTTGTCTGAAATTAAAATTGTACTGCCTTTATATCAACTAAAATAACCTTTTTATGAGACTAGTACTTGTACAATGTAGTAAGGCTTTATTGGACGAGTCTGTAGTCTGAGAAAGTGAAGCCAATAAAAGAACGAGCCCAGTAAAGTCTTATTATGTACCTTCAAGCGACATGAAAGATATCATGTCAAGTTTTATAGTAGCATAATATATTTCCGATAGGTACGTACAGGGTGACCCATTTTCTATTTTTTAATGGGCTATATCGAAAACCAGCAGAGATATCAAAAATCTGAAAGCACACTATCGAGCTCTTTTCTTGAGAAAATAACAATGGGAAAGCCAAATCACGGCTAGCTTGATGCGTTTAGGAAATACAGGGCACTTTTTAAATTTTGCCCAATTATGAAAGACCTAATTTCTTTATTAATCAAGATATCCAAAAACGAAAAATACTTTCTAGATGCAGTTTTTCGAGTAGAATCCAGTGGCATGACCAATTTTTTTCCAGATTCCACCCATTTTGGAATGTTAACCAAAGTTTTGTTTTTTAAATGGGACACCCCATATAATATTTTTTCATTACGTAACTCTTTTTGAGCTGATTTCAACGATATTGGTGTGGACACCTATCGAAGAAGATGAAAATTAACACCTGTACGTTAGGTGTGCTGGTTGGAATGGTGGAAAACGTGGAATTGGAATTGTCAGATTTTGAGTGATAGAATAAAGTAGTCTGTTACAATCTCGGTTTTGAAATAAAACTCTTTGTGCGTTTTAAGAAGTTTCTGTACCCAGTAGCACAATTGGGTTTCATAGCTTTACCTTCAATAGTTTTTGAGAAAAAAAACAAGTTCCGTTTCTCCATAAGAAACAATGAGCTAGAAAGAGATAAGTCATTAAATAAATTATGTGTTGCTTATTTTATCTCCCAAATTCATAGTTCAAATTAAAAAAAAAATAACCAAACTGAAAAATTAGATTAAGAATTAAGAAAGGACACACCTCTTTTGGGTATTTGGTTTTCTGTCAAACTCAATGAAATTTTGATATGTGTTAGACCTTGACTTCCCGATAAAAAGTTCTCATGAGCCCGAATCAATCCTATGACTAGTTTTTGAGATACAGGTAGTTTAATTCCAAGAAATGTACTGTAAGAATCATTGCAATTGGCACACTATATAAACATCCCGCGTAATTCGTCAAAATTTTACTTCATTGACACACAGGTAATGTCAATATCGTGTCAGATTGATAAATCAGTGGTGACCATAATAGTTTTAATCTGGTTTCAATAAACTGTTGAAGAAAAAAAATATTTATACACCACTGCACTGAATAGATTTATTGATTAGAATTTTGACTTAATACGAGGGATGTTAAAAGAGTAAAATATGTGCTAATTGAAATGATTCCCACTCTACACATTTTATATGCATTTACATCTACCTGTCACCTGAGTGTGAGGATAGGTACCTGTCCATCCTGGTATATTATTAGGTTGTATTAACGGTAAATGCATTTAAAATGTGTACATTTCTTGGACATTTAAGTACCTGTATCTCAAAAACTAATCATAGTATTGGTTCTGGCCCATGAGAACTTTTTATCAGGAAGTCAAGGTCTAACACATATCAAAATTTTATTGAGTTTGACATAAAACCAAATACCCATAAGAGGTGTGCATGTCCTTTTTAGCCGATTGATAGTTCAACTTTCAACTATCTCTTTCTAACTCATTGTTCCTTATTAGTGTTGCAGGTATTTCTTGTTCTTGTCTTGCTTTTTCTTGTTCTTGTCTTGTTCTTGCATGCAAGAACAAGACAAGAAGTGGATTGGCAAGAAATATACAAGACAAGAAACTAATGAGCAAGAACAAGATTTCTTGTGCAAGAAATTTGCAAGAAGCAAGACTTCTTGCATAATTTATTTTGAATAATATTATTTATGTAGTTGATAAATTTCATAATTACTTATACTCGAATTGTAAATAAATAAAAAAATGTGACAAAAAAAAACCCTTATCCTACAGCCGTGCGGAAAAATCGATTTTCCGCACTGATATGCGTGCGGAAAATGAGTTTTCCCGCACGGTGCGGTAAAACTTTTTTTTTTGACATATCAGACATATTAAACTCCAGTGGAGGCAAATGGGGTCGTTAATTTAATGGAACTCGTTCGACTATCACTTTTATAATCACCAAACACACATCGCTTCATCGCCTCTCGATAAAACATATCACGTTCTCCCAAAACTGCCATAATTATTAAATTTAAGCCCAAAATTGAAAAAAAATTAATAACATTGACAATGCTATTTATAGGTTATGTGACTTTGTTTGTCGACTTTCTGCCAAAGTCATTCATAATGAAATCTTCTATTGAAGTTTTTTATTATTATTATTAATTATACTTTATTTTTTTCCAAGATAGATTTTGACATTGAAAACCTTGAAACATAAACAATAACGCTTGACCCTGATTGGTCGCAAAATGAGGTGTTTCTGCAGGTTGACATCAGTTTTACAATAGCGGCCAATAAGTGGCATTAGCGGCATTGTTTATGTTTCAAAGTTGACAATGTCAAAATCTATCTTGGAAAAAAATAAAGTATAGGTCTACACGTAAATTCTAAATTCTAAGTATTTTTTTTAAGAAGAGCGAAAGAAACGACCCCTATCCCCTATTCAAATTTGGGGGGTTGTTCTTCCCCTAGCTAGGGGGTTGAAGCTACGAAGAGGAAAAAAACTGAAAAATAGTTCCCCCTCCAATCAAAAATCGACGTATCCGAGCGTTTTTCCAGATTTCCATTTCAAAACGAATGAATCGAGGTGGACTGTTTTCCATGGGACACCCTGTATATTCAATGCCTAGATTGATCTACCTTTGTATTGAAGATATGAATAGTTCTTATTTAAATCCATTTGCTAAATATTTTTTAGATTATGCCTTTAGGAAACAGCAATTTCTGTCACATTTATATATGAGCATAAAAAAATTAAATCACTATTGTCAAAAAGTGTGTCGACTCGAGCCGACTGTACCCGAATGAGCGTTACAAAGCCGAGTGTGACGGCTCAGTGTGCTGAACGCGCTTAAATAGGTTTTCACTTGCAAAATATTTCTTGAAGTTCCAATATAATGAAAACTTCCAAAAATCAAACATTTTCATTGAGCATTTAATTTCCTCGACTTGTCTGATGTTATCTTCTAATATCATAAAAACGTTTGTGTTTTTTTCATGGAAGTTTAATCATTATTTTGAAACTTAACTTGCTCTAGTCTTTAAAAAAGGACTATAACCAAAGTAAAATCTATGTAGGAACTACTTATGAAGCAAGAACAAGAAATAGCAAGAGTCTTGCAGCAAGAACAAGAAATAGGCTTGCAAGAAATTTGCAAGGACAAGAAATTGGAAATTTCTTGTGTTGCTTAGCAAGACAAGACAAGAAATAGCTGAGCAAGACAAGATTTCTTGCGACCTGCAACACTATTCCTTATGGAGAAACGGAATTATTTTTTTTTTCTCGAAAACTATTGAAGGCAAAGCTATAAAACCTTATATCATTGAAATCAGCTCAAAAAGAGCTAGGCAACGAAAACATAATATACGGGGTGTTCTATTAAAAAAATTAAAAAAAAACTTTAACTATTATTCCAAAATTGGTGGCACCTAGAAAAAAAAAAATGCGACTGGATTCCACTTGAAACACTGCCTCTAGAAAGTATTTTTCGTTTTTGGATATCTTAATTAATAAAGAAATTGGAAGGCCCTTTAAATTGGACAAAACTTGACAATTGCCCTGTATTTCGTAAACGCATCAAGTGGCCGTGATTTGACTTCACCGAAATGTTAATTCCTCAAAAAAAGTGCTCGTGAATGTGCTCCCAGATTTTTGTCATCTCTGCTGGTTTTCAATATGGCCCGAAATGGGACACCCTGTACAGGGTTATTGGTTATAAATTGACCACTTACTTAACTCGTTTATTTTTGTAGTAAGAAAAAAAAAAGTCCAATATGAAAGATGATTTGTTTAAAGCACGCTGTAATCTAATTCTACCCTTATTTATACAGGGTGATCCAATTTTAAAAAAAACTGTATACCTTATTTGAGGCCTATCAGTTGCAGCAATATGCTGATGCTTCCTAGATTCACTTTTATCTCTCTTTCGATGTCGCTTAGATGGTTTATTTTTTCTACGACCTTCACTTTTACTGGCAATCTCTTTAAAACTGTAATTTTTTTTTATGCCAGCATAGGTTTTCCTAGGAGATGCCTGCTGAGGTTGTTCAGTTTTGTATTTAAACAAATCTCCGTAATAATAAGGCGAAGGGTGTCGCTTAGCAGTAGGTAATTCAGATTTAGTTGGAGAAAGAACGTCAAGGACCGAAGCAGGATGTACTGAAGTACCTTCGTTGATACTATCAGGAGAGTTTAAGTCCTGAGGTCTAGGTTTTTGGTTTTGGGTACAAGCAAAATCCTCGTCTGAAGTAGCGTTGGATGATTCTTCTGTGAACAAAAAATGATTTATTTAGATATTTGAGGTAAAAGTAGAAATAAGAAAATTCTAAGTACCAAGGCTGAAGGACCAACAGTTTATTTTATGGAAGAAAAAACCTCTTAACTCCAGTGCATCAGAAAAATTTCACTTATAGTTTAGGCGCAGATGTTTTTTTTAATACAAATGGAGAAAATAGGTCTGATGGACATTTAATTTAATGACAGGACATCCAAAGACTAAGTGAGTGTTTTATGTGTGCAAGAACGGTTCGAAAACAACAAAATCATCTATGTGCTCAGAATAGATATTGAGATTCTCCTTAATAAACTGTTATAGACCCTGGACAGCATGTTCATGAAAAGTACAAAGGGTGCAGTTTTTAGGCTGGTCAAAAATCATTTAATAGACTATGATTTCAAGTGAATAAAACACAAAGGGTTGTTTAATGTTTGGATTTTAGTATTTCCCTACAAAAGGCGAAGTATTTTTGAGAATATTTGGTCATGACTTTCTGACTGCAATGACACTCGGTGACTATAGAACAGAATTATTGCACTACAGTTATTACTAATTTACGAGAAAATGCAGTTAAAATTTATTTCTGAGAACCAATAAATGAAATTGAAAATAATTTAATTGAGAAAATGGAAGCTGATATTGCAGTAGATAGGTAATTTTAGTGACAAAACAAACTGAAAAAAAAATTAAAAATTTTTCGTTTATATCATTCGAATAAAGAAGAATATAGAGCAATTCGAAATATTTGCTTTGAATATCGAATATCGAGATACATTTCATTGTGCGGAAATCCTTTCACATTCAAAAACCAAATTGAACAGAAAATTAATTTAACCAACCAAACATCAATTTTTACGAAAAAAAAAAATGGGTTACCAGAAATACAAAAAAAGAAGTCAATACTCATACGGATCACGTGTCAAAGAAGGGAATAATTCACCCATCTAATTCCCCATGGTCCAGACCAATTTGGAAAGTGCCCAAACAACAAGACGCATCAGGTAAAAAAAAAATAGCCGTCTAATATTTGATTATCGAAAACTTAATGACAAGACTATAGGAAACAAATACTTATTGACTAATAATATTGCTGATTTACCTATTAGCTCAATATTTTACAACGTCAGATTTAGCAAATGGTTTTCGTCAAATCGAAATTCCACTACACAAACCAGCCTTTTCAAAAGGTAGGTATAGGTAAACTTTAGTATAGGACACAACGAATTTTAAAGAATGCCATTTGGTTTAAAGACCTATACCTGTTGAACAATGCATTGCGTGGACTGCAAGATTAAATATTTTGTGTTTATCTAAATTAAAACTAATATTTGTGCCAGTACTTTTGCTCTCATTTGACAGCCGTTAAAAATAATCAGGGGTTTGAATGTGCTCTAACCACATCATACTTATAGACCTTCGCCCATGCAAAACTTTGACGACCGACGCCGACGTATCAAATTCGTTAAAGATGGAGAGCCAGCGCTGAAAAAATTCTCTGAATTTACTAAAGCCAGTTTTTGGACAGTTGATTACAATAGTTATGTACATAAATATAGCGCGGTCAGTCAAGCGAAACTTGGGACAAGGACCTAGGGTGTCTTGTTAAAGTTATCGAGATAACTTAGGTAATGCAACGAATTTACTAAGGCTGAAAATCCTTATAGATATTATACATTACACATAAATAACAGTGATGTTAGTCAGTCAGTTGAATAGCGGAGTTAAGCTGGTCAATCCGCCCCATTGAGGTAGTACAGCTCCAATTTATGTGAAAAAAAATAATAGGTCTATTTTTTTTAGAGTGACAGCGTGACAGTGACAACTCAAAATTGTAGGTTGAAGTATAAATTAATAGGTTTATTCCAATGACATCAAAACACAGATAGACGGATCATCCCATTCATAAACTATTATTTGTTGTGTTGACAAGACCACCCATGGGCCAGGGGAGGTGAGTTGCTCGCGGGGTCGGGGTAGGGAGACATCATTGCTCAAAATGGTGTAAAAAACCCCGCCCACACGTGAATATATCTCGAAATTTAATTGGATGAATAAATAAAATAACAAATTGACAAATAAACTGAAAATATTCGATACAAGCCCTTTATTCTGGGAGTACCAATATCGTGTTAGTCGTTTCTTTTTTAACGCTAATGAATAATCCCTGTTTCCAATAAAGATAGCTAGCTACTACAATCAACACCTGCCTGCCATTCAACAAGCCGCTTCTGGGCGGTGTTTTGCTATAATCTGCTGTTGCCAAATTGAGTTCAGAAATAAAATTGAAAATGTTAATTAGAGGAGAAAAATATATTATTTAGGGATTCAAGACAAAATTTGGCATTCTCAGTGGTGGGGATAGCACAAAGACCCAAAAGAGACAGAGAGATGTTGTCATACGAAAATTTTGTTTATTGTTCGGTCTATCTGTGTTTTGATGTCATTGGTTTATTCAGTAATATTACTATTTCTTGTAGATTTTTACATTTATTGGGGCTGGGGTTCCATTACCTAAGTGATCTCGACAACTTTAACAAGACACCCTAGGTCGTTGTCCCAAGTTTCGCTTGACTGATCGCGCTATATTTATGTACATAACTATTGTAATCAACTGTTCAAAAACTGGCTTCAGTAAATTCAGAGAATTTTATCGGCGCTGGCTCTTGGGCTATTATTCGAGAGCAAAAGTACATAGCTCAATTTTTACATAAAAAAATTGCGAGTGTACGCCACTGGTATTTTCCTGTTTCTGACTACCCCCTCAACCTTCCCATGTTAGTATGAATTCAATCCTATGTACAGTTTTTGAATAATCATACAGTTTCCTATGTACAGTTTTTGAATAATCATACAGTTTGTATATTTTTGTATGGTTATCCATTTGTAGGTCGATCGAGTGTATGCCACTGGTATTTTCCTGTTTCTGACTACCCCCTCAACCTTCCCATGTTAGTATGAATTCAATCCTATGTACAGTTTTTGAATAATCATACAGTTTTGTATATTTTCGTATGGTTCTCCATTCCAGGGCCGCCGCTACCATGTGTGCATTGTGTTCAAAACACACAGGCGGCCGATTGAAAGAGGCGGCCGATAAAAAAAAACCGGTCGCCGCCGACGATCCTGATGCAAAAAAAATATCACGTGCACACGTGGTAGAAGTGAAACTTATTAAAAACCTTCCCCCCTCGTACAACTTTTAGACTTAGCGTATGAGTCGGGGTAAAAACGAAGGACCATGCAAAAGGGAGACGTATCTGTAGTGACGTCACAAGGGTATCGGCGCTTGACAATAATAGGCAATCCTCCTTGTATATAAATCCTTGGTTTGTTTTAATCGTTCGTCGGCCTTCATTGTCATAAGCTGTTTTTTTTCCTTCTCTCTACGTTATATCTTTCTTCTTTCTCGTGTAACGAAATTTCCCAAAACGTGACGTTAAGTGACGCGTCCTTCAAATCACTCTCCATTTTCGACAAAATATACCACCGCCTAAAGAAAATTCACTTCAAAATAAATCATAGGTAGCCATCGACTTTTATCGAAAATAAATCTCTCAAGCAAATAAACCATCAAGCTTTAATAACCAAAATAAACCGAAAGTACTTCTTTACAAATTTTTACTAAGTGCATCCCTACCTAATATTCATGATACAAGCAAATGAACACTTGAGTTTTCAAATTTTGTTCTTTATTGGGATATCAAATGCAAATGTCGGCGACAGGCGCACTCGAACATTACAGCGGAACAAACTAATAAGGTTTTTGGAGTGAAACTTCTTAAGGCGGCGGGCGGTCTGATATGAAAGTGATACGAAAGACGCGTCACGTTTTGGCAAATTTCGTTACAACAGAGAGAAGAAAAATGTAAGGTAGAGAGAAAGAGGAAGACAGCCAATGACAATGACAGCCGATGAACCATTGACACAAAGAGGATTGCCTATTATTGTCAAGTGCCGATACCCTTGTGACGTCACTACAGATGCGCGTCGTCCTTTTGTGTGGTCCTTCCTTCAGCTTTACCACGAATCTTTGACACGACTCATACGCTAATATCTTAAAGTCTAAAAACTGTATTCCATTCCAACGCCCTTAATTTGTATTTTAGAGGGAGTGGGGCGGCGCCCTAGCGGCGGCCCTGCTCCATTCGTAGGTCGATCGAGTATACGCCTCTGGTATGTTCCTGTTTCTGATGACTACCCCCTCAACCTTTCCATGTCAGTATGAGTTCATTCCTATTTACAGTATTTGTGTTTCTGACTACCCCTTCAACCTTTCCATGTTAGTATGAATTCAATCCTATGTACAGTTTTTGAATAATCATACAGTTTTGTATATTTTCGTCTGGTTCTTCATTCGTAGGTCGATCGAGTGTACGCCACTGGTATTTTCCTGTTTCTGATGACTACCCCCTCAACCTATCCATGTTAGTATGAACTCAATCCTATGTACAGTTTAAATTGAGTATCTTGATTCTTGGGCGTGTTTCAACAAAAGATAGAGCCAATACTAATCCTGACAAAATAGAGCTGTAAAAAATTTCGCGATACCAAAAATAAAAAAAGATATTAAATAATTTATTTTTGAGACTTGCCGGATACTATAATTTTTTTTTTGCAGAAATGGCAAAACCTGTGACTTTGTTTTTTTTGCTCTATACAGGGTGTCCCAAAAAGATACCGACAAACTTTGAGGGGTAGTTATGGACATCAAAACAAAGCTTTTTTTATATAAACATATGTCCGCAAATGAGCCATTTGGGCTGTAGAGCAAAAAAACTATTTGGTACTTTTATTCTTCGCAATAATTAAATCACTGTTTACTTATTAATTTTGCTCTATAAAATCCAATAAATTATGGTTTACAATAATTGTTCAAAACTAAACAATCATCAATCAACAATAATTGACTCGCGAACCCTTTGGAATATTCCGGGAATAGCTTCTACATGGGTACAACTCGCCAGTATCCTTGCTAACAGATCTTCCTCATTACGAACACGTGTTTCGTAGACTAAACTTTTCAGTTAATGACCGGACGGTGCAATCTTGGCATTGAAGTAAATGGTCAACATTTTGAACAATTATTGTAAACCATAATTTATTTGTTAAGAGAGCAAAATTAATAAGTAAACAGTGATTTAATTATTGCGAATAGTACCAAACAGTTTTTTTGCTCTACAGCCCGAATGGCTCATTTGCGGACATATGTTTATATAAACAAAAATGCTTCTTTTGATGTCTCCTACTACCCCTTAAAGTTTGTCGGTATCTTTTTGGGACACCCTGTATACTCCAATAGTTATGTAGACACATAGTATGACACATATAGGTACATTGATATTGTGATTTATATATTTTTAAATGACATGGATACCAATTTTCCTGATCAAATCATTAACCCAGAGAATATGGATTTATCAATGATTTCGAAAGCATAAACAAAGTTTATAACAATTCTAAATCCTGGAAACATACCTTCCAATCCTTGATGATTAATAATAACCACCTTTCAATTATTTAAGGGAACAAATTTGATAAATTATACTTAATGTAGAGCAAGGTGAAAGGTAAATGATAATTAGATTTTCGCATGAAGGCAGCGCTGAACAAACTACGATTGGAAATCAATGAAAGTTAACTTAACACAATTTATTAATGATTGCGAAATATGCTCAAAAGGAAAATACAATCGAAAACCATCAATCATTTATACGAACCAAGACACCCTCAAAGCTTTCCGAAATAATTTATATCAAAGCATTACTAATTGTGGGATCTTCTTCAAAGTTCGATGAGCACTTTTATATTTTGGCACCGCTATATCAGTATGTCAATGTTTGACTAATACCTTCTAATTTCCAGGTATTTCTGAATGAATAATTGTTTTCGTCAATGGAACGGAATTCAAGAATGAAGTAATTAGTGATCTCTTGAAAACTCACATTGCTAAAATTCATTTCACTACCCCCAATATCATAAATCTGATGAACCAGTGGAAACCTACTAATTAAATATGTTAGCATTCTACCAGAAAAATTAATACTAATGACATAATAACCATAGTGCATTGCAAATCCATTAGAGCATCACTGGTAATCTAGACAAAACAGACGCAGACCTTTATTACAGTCAAATCAATTTATATGGAGCTCTAAAAATGTATTCCAATATTTTAGAACTAACTAACTAACTAACTAGAGCTAAGTATGTCTACCTATCACGATATTTGATGAAAAACTCAAGTTGCAATTTCTTTTGCTAAAATTGATACGCTTCTCAGAACTCTATAATAATTGATCCAGAGTTAATAAGTGAAATTAATAGATTCATTAATTCAATTAATGGAATCCAATATTGAAAATATATTAGGTTTTGGAAAAATAATTGCAAGAGGTATTCAAAATTAAAAAAATGGAATTACCATTGATTGAAACCTATTGAAATAGATGGTTATGATGAAACTATGAATTATTATCGTCCAAAGCACGTTGAAAGAAATCGTCATTTTATCTTCTGTGGGGGTTTAAAATGACCTCCTAAAAACCTTTAAATTTTAACTGGGGTTTATTGTCTTGTCAAGATACTTATACAGTAAGTTTGCAAGTATGCTAATCATGAGCAGAAACTAATTTCAGAATTTAGCTAGACATAGTTTAATGCGCAAAACGCCAAAAACATCGCAATTTGTCCGTTAATTAAATTGAGTACTTAATTTCATTTCAGTAAAATAATTTACCTAATAGGTATATTGTCACCTTAGAGTGCGAGTACGTGACGTGGCAAAAGGGCCGCTTTTTCTCCCCGTTATATTACTTTGCTGTTTCGCATTTTGCGATTTTTAACAGCCGTGCAATTTATGTTAAATTGTTCTCGCCTTAAGTAATGAAATCGTTAGTGAAATCGGAACATTGCGCCCTGACGTGAAATGTTTTCGTCTAAAGTGAGAGAATGTGGCTAGTTTTAATATATTTAATTTCAAGGCTGTTAGGTATCACAGAATAGCTTTGGAAACAAAATTTTGCTTGTTCCCTAAGGCTCAATTTAACATAATATAGCAGTTGTCTTAATGGTCGCGGTCACTACATTGATGTCTCCATTTTGTAAAATAATTATTTATTTTGTAAGAGACCGAACAGTGTCATCCATAGATGTCATTATCAAAAGAATATAATACCGTTGATAATACATACTTTGTTCTTCCTTGCTGTCAGAAGTCAGAACTCGCCAGCGATCTAAATTTTTGTTTCTGTACCTTCTAGCCCCAAAATAGAGAAAAGTAACACCTGCTGGAGGGTAGGTATTTAGGGCCCAGGGAAAAAGCTGCCTGTCGTGCTGCGCTTCAGAAGAATAGGCCAAAAATAACGCGGCAGCATCCAAGATGTCATCGACTAAGTTATTGAGCGCGCCAAAGACCAATGTGAAGCGGAAGTAACTAGGGCTGACAATTGATGAACTTGGCACAGAATGCTCCGATCTGTAATCTCACACCAGAATGATGGAGAGAAAGGAAGAAATCACAACGTTTGCTGAATATCTCGACTATACTAAACAGCAGTGATCAATGCTTAAAACAGCCTGCCAAAAAGCAACGGGCTTCATCACAAGGGAAACATCAGGATTGAGAGGAATTCACAACTTCATAGAAGAGAAGAGGGAAGCCTTAAATATGTCGCTAAACGACGCATGACTCAGCTCACGAAAAACAAACATATCTTCAGCAGAAACAACTATGCTGGAAAACGAATTCAATTGAATTTGAATATTTAGCAGCTTCTTGTGGTAAGCGAAAAAATAACAGTGGACGGTATAAATGATGCGATAGAACGCATATAGTCACCATAAAATTAGACTGGGAGGCCCATGTGGCTAGGTTCACTGATAGACGCTGGACACGGAAAATCTTGAAACTAGAACAAGACGCATATCATAGTAGGGTAGGGGACGTTCATCTACAAGGGTGGTTGGTGTCGGTGATGATAATGATGAAGAACACCAAAGCCTCCTTCAACGCAACAAAAGCAAAAATTTGAGACAATTCACACCAATATGCGTGACACCTCTATTGTCACTATATCCAAGAAAAGCACAACTGGAAATTACTGAGAAATACCACTGCTTTCTGCGACCGGTAAAATTCTTTCTAGGATTTTCCCTAACAGACTTCTTGCTACAGCTGATTCAACCTTGCCCAAAACACAGTGTGGTGACCAGACCAAATCGAGTTGTGGTGGAAACGATTTTAGTTCGAGACAAATGCAAAAAAAATCGAAAGAGCAAAACAAACCCCTATGTCTGTTCCCAATTTTCATGACTAACTCAAATTTACTTCGTATAGTGAAGTTGGATATACGAAGAACACCTAAACAAACCATTCTAACTACCTGGGAAGAAAAAGAAATTTCAGCAGGCATATTGCTTAACTTTTATTCTCAACATTTATTTAAACAAAACCTCTCAGTTATGTTGGCTATAAAAAAATTATAAGATCACCAAGTTTAGCTTTGATGCTTTCTGGAGGATAGTTTAAACTTAAAAAGTTAAGAAATCTCGATTATCTGGCAAGTTTTTTCCTCATGTCCGCAGTTACTCAGGAAAACTAGGAAGACTTATGACTACTGAAACCCAGAAAATAGATTTGCATCCTAGAAAAACGTTTTTTTCGAAAAAAAATTAATAAACCTGACAGATGCCTTGGCCTTCATGAAATTCTCAAAAATTAATTATTGAAAATCAACAAATTCACATTTTAACTAGCTTTAAGTAAACCTGCTAACAATGTAATATCTGTTAGTGCCCGGTGCGGGTTGGTGCAGAATCTGCGTCTTGTTAAAGTTGACCTCTTGGCCGATTCTCCTATGTATGCTGGGTTGAATGCATTGATAATTGCCTGAAGAAGATGCCGGTTCAAGATTGGTTTATATAGCCATCAGAAAATTCACAATCCACGACATTAAGAATAGAATACGAGATAATCATACTCGGTATGGAGTGATCGCCTATGATGATGATGACTGCCGGGTTCTCCTAATAAAAATTTATTATCAAAAACTCCAGAATATTCTTAATTGGATGCAGAACAGAAAATGTTTCCTGGATGTTTCCACTATATTTGTCTTTATATAACGCACCTGACATGTTACATTATAATATTTAATCGCCATGTTAATGTAACATGAAGTAAACCAATTTGCAAAGGATCAAATGCAGTTTCCCCTTTGTAAACAAACCTTATTTTACCCTATTAATTTTCCTTCAAGTTATATAAATCGCTTTATGGTATAAACACTCAATAATAATTAAATTACCCTTATCTGATATCTTGTTTCTTAGAGCTCGGGCCAGTAATCAATACAGAAGATTACATAAAAAATACAAAACGTTGTTGTGAAAGGCAGCTGAGGAAACTGATGCAGACATCTTTTTTAATTAAGTTAAGAAATCGTGAAAATAATCTTGTAGAAATGAAACTCCCGATCTTTCCCTTTCCTTTATTATAAAGAAATAAACCAATTTCAACAAAGAATTCTATGAAAAACGATTTCAATAGAGAGCTGTTATTTGAAAAATACTTTATGATTTGAAGCTTCGAAAGATAATTATTGCTTTGGGAAAGTTTGCTTTTGCTTTGTTAGGGAATTTTGATTAAAAAAAAATCGTAATGCCGTAATACTTACCAGTAGTATAAGGTTGAGAATATTCCTTATCTGGACTAGTAAAATATTTTTCTTCTTGAGCCAATTGCTGTTGAGAATCTCTAGGGGTTGAATATGTGTCTAAGACTACAACCTATTAAGAATAACATTTATTAGAATGTTTCTAGAGACCCGACTTTAACTGACTGACTGTTTAAAAAAGTTAAAATCCTCGAATAGCAGTGGCCATTTCCATACAGACTGCGGCATATAAAATATACGTATTCAAACTTTAAGCCAACAGTTGTACTTCCTATAAGCTACTGATATGTGATAAATATTTTGGAAAATAGCATTATTATTGGCCACTCCTCTTCAGTTTAGGATTTTAAATTTTTCAAACGATCTGGCATTAGGAATGTGGGCTTGTAAGTGTAAGTATTTTTAAAGTAGATTAAAATTGACTTCACACTTACATGTTCTGCTTCAGGACTAGAAAGGATGAGGTCAGAAAAATTGCGAGACAAAAAGCAATTATTAGTAACAGCTATACTATTTGGTCTTCTTTTTGCAAGTTCAGCTAAATGATCGGCAGGAAGGCTGTAGTCTTCACATAAAGAGATCTGAAACAAATTGTAAATTGAACTATTTTTATAAAATTAATGTGGATTAAACAAATTATTGTGTTAGTAATTTTGAAAATAATATATATTAAACTCTCTGATTTTAGGCGGATTTCAATCAAACATTGTCGATAACCAATCTAAATCCAGGCGCATGCAATACGGACGTTTTTAACATTGAAATTCCGAACTGAAATTGCCAAATATTTGAGTTTAATTTAAAGTTACCGTTTCGCTAATATTAATTCAGAACCAGGCTGAGCAGGTCACATATTTTACCAGTGATTTTTGACACAACGATCAAGGAGTTTATATATACTTTGGTGCTGCATAAATATATTGGTTTTTAACAACTGATCATACATGCACCAAAAAAAACAAACACATAATAAGTATACCTGTAAGATATACAGACCGACGAAATGGTCGAAATGGAGGATCATTAAATGATGCAGGTGCTCGCTTTATTGAAATTTTCCTAAAAACTAGATGACCAACATAGCTAGAAGAACCGATTCCAGAAAAATTCGCGAGAAGAATAAGACAGCCAACTGAAAGAAAAACCGGAAGAACAAGACAGAAAAGGCTCCAGAAAATTGTGTATGATCAAATACAAAGAGATATTGACAGGATCGCTGACTCCTGAGTGTCTCGTTGCGTTGTTCAAGGCACTCTCAACGGTAAGGAATCAGATTTTAGTGTGATGTAGTACAGAAATAAACACCTACTAGAAAAGTTTTGGAACTGTTCAACATATAAGGACCAAGATTAACGAACCTGGTACCAAGATCGACGAGGACATTGCCAGAGAAGACTATAGGAGAGAACAAAATGCTGACAAGGAGTTGGAGATGGTACGTTGCTAGCCGTTATAGTTACTCATATTCGTCTACCTTCTCTACAAGAATAAAATATAAAAATTGAACATTGGTAAAATGTTGTTTATCTCCAATATTCATCATTACATCACCTACAGGAGACAAATAACTTGACCATCAAACTGATAGGTACCATTTTTTTTGCAGACATCAGCCTGGATGGCAAGAATTTGATTACTGGATTGTTGAAGAATATTTTAAAGAATACCCAGACACGACTTCGAGCAGAAATGAAGCATGGAGCAGTAATTGTATGGTTTTCTTTAAGAGAAAATTGCGCCAGGTTCTTTTCCTGCGGGAAATAAATACTCCATTGTTGCTATGGATTATTCTTGGAAGTGGCAAGTTCCAATTCTTAATCAGGAAGGAATGTGATCAATCTATCATATCGCATGGGGGTCACCAGGCACGATCTCCCAAATGCGAAGACTCGTCTCCTAAAATTACAGAGACACCTGCCATTTGTATTGAGTGATCAACCCTCATATACCTACCCGGTGTCCCATATTAGTTGAACTTGATTTGAGTGGCACGAAGTGTGACAGGTTCTAGATAATAAGAACTGTCGCTGATTTCATTACTTGTAAACTTTGCTATTACTAAGGGGCAAAGTGCATTTCCTCTTGCGATTAGAGTAGATGAACTACAAGAGTTCTAGAGCGGAAGTGACGTCACACTCGTTCTGGGGGTCCGTCATCAGAGAAGCCCCAAATTGAAGGTGCCTGTACCCAATTTCGGGGCGCTTATTTTTTCGTGGGGCCCCATTTATTGGCAAGCCCCCAATTTGAAGAGGTCTAACCCAAGTAGCAAGCCCCAATTTGAAGAGACCTAACCCATGTGACGTCAGCAAAGGGGCCACATGTTTGTCCCCGCTGCTAGACCCGTGGCACCATTTTCGGGGCCCCATTTACATGAACTCATAACCTGAAATGAGATACCTCATACATGATGACAGGTACGTGGCACGTTGTCGAAACTAATAATGTGCGACGTTGCCAATAAAATGTCCCTAAATCTAGGGAAAAAAAATCGGACAGGGGCCCCTTGTCTCCGCTGCTAGACCCGCCGTCCCATTATCCGTATATGAAACCAATATAACCTAAAACTCATAACCTGAAATTTGATACCCCGTATCTCATGCTGGTAACCTAAAATTTGTACCACGTACTTAGAACTCGGAACCCTAAATTTGATACACCATAACTCGTGACTTGTAACAAGATACATCGTACTGGGCCCCCCATTTTCCGTGGGCTCTCATTTTTCTAAACTAAAATCTGGACACGATCAGACAATAATTCATGTCTCGTTACCTACCAATTATTTCAATGCGACATCATCATTCGAAATTTGGTTTCACGCTGCCGCCGCCGAGACCCAAACCATAGGGCCCCATTTTTCGGCAAGCCCCAAATATTATTTTTAAATAATTATAATTTCTGCCGCTGATAACAAGTTTTGCGAACTTGCTTAATTTATTCGAAATCCCGTTGTTATCTCACTTGGGTTAGGTCTCTTCAAACTGGGGCTTACTACTTGGGTTAGGCCTCTTGCTTGCCAAAAAATGTGGCCCACGAAAAAATGGGGGCCCCGAAATGGGGTACAGGCCCCTTCAATTTGGGGCTTCTCTGATGACGGGGACCCCAGAAGGAGTGTGACGTCACTTCCGCTCTAGAACTTTTGTAGTTCATCTACTGATTAGTTTGGGTCACATTGGGTAGATAGGCTGTTATTAACATACGATATACAGACTGAAGAAATTGAGAAAATTGGATTTTTCAAAAATATTATCTAGGGGCCATAAACCGTTAAAATAGATTATTCTCTTTAGGGTCTATTGAATTGACGGTTGCATCAATTTCTTTTAAAGACAAAGTTAAAAATGTATTTAAACTTGTTTCTTTTTCATTGTTCATTCAAAAGACTTGGATATGAAAATAGACTAATCGGTAGAGCTTGTAAAAAGATCATGGAATGTCAATACTTGCAAAAATGGGAAAATTCACGACATCTTATCATGTCAAGAGTTCCATTAAGACTTTTTAAAGTTTTTCCTTGTACCCCTATAAAGTCAACCGTAAACTTCCAAAAGTTTTGAAGTTTCTTTGACCGGGAATTTTATTTCCACAAATTAAATATTTTTATTTGTATCCGATTTTCTTGAAAAAAACTGAAATCTAATCTCAAACTCCCTCTGGGGCCTCTGGTATCATTAAAATCGATTTGGTTTATGTATGATACAAGCACATGCATTAATGGACCAATAAGGTTATTTCTATCACGTAAATGTAACCGATGTTTCGCAACTGGCGCTCACATATCGGAGATCACATATAACCGGTCTCGTAATTTAGACCAGAGCCAACAGCCACCCTCAGAGTTTCGGAATGCGGGGGTGGAAAACAGCAACATTTCACCCCTCCCTGTACGCGACAATGAGCACTTCTTGCCCTTTCTAATATACATCGTTTATATCGTTTCGTATAATATTTTATGAAGGAGCATTTTGCTATAGGGAAATACTTTTAAACAAATTATTTATAAGGTCGTTCAGATCACGATACCTACAGCGTTTGTAAAAATTGTTTTTTGGCATTTGCCATTTATATTCTTGCATAAAAAATCGTTTTAACAAATCTCCCAGAGCCAAACTCTCCCCTAGCTTTTACAAACGTAAACGGGGGGAAGTGATGCACCTACGATGGAAAACCCAATTTATACAGGGTGTTTTAGAGGATAAGTCAAAGCTTACAAGTACCCATATGAAATACAAAAATGTCCATAAATAATTCTGCAAAAGCTTTAGGGTGGATTCATAAATCATATCTGTATTATATTCTCTAGCGAATTTTATAGATTTTTCGGAAAGCCAGCCTGCTTAGAGAAAATGTTTGCTAAAAGCGAGAACTCGGTATAAACAGCCTATTTGAAAGCAGCCTTTTTAGTGCTGCCAGGAATATCTAGGTTTTTGGTAATCCAAACAATATTTTTCTACTACAAAATCCAGAAGTAACGTTTTTTTTTTACATAAATATATTATTTCATTTTTCATTGCATCATATTTATAAAACACCGTTAAACACGCTAAAACTGAATTTGTACAATTGTCTTTTGACCAAATTAAAACTATACATTCCGACTTCGCTGCAGTAAATTGCACTTTCTCATAAAACTCTAAGGGGGATCTTGTAGGGTAAACATCACGTTTAAACCCTAGGGAAAGGGGTTGGAGACCAAACTTCAAAATTCAGAATAGGCAAGAAGGAACTGTTAACATTTTCGAAATTTATTAGGCTAGCAATTTATATGGTAATGTTTATTACAATAAGAATTTTACGTTGGTGGGGGTTAATTTATATGGTGGTTAATGGTTTATTGGAATGGCCATATTGAAAATCGCAATTTTACGAAGTGACAATCCAGTAGGTTTACAAATGAAACATTATGGGATGAAATAGTCATTTATTTATCATTACCGAGCAAAAATATTAGAAGCAATCACATGATGTAATATACCTAATAATAGTTTTCTTTAATAACTTTCTTATGAGAAAACTAACTAAGAAATTGAAGTTTTTCAATAGTGGATTTTTTCTGGGGATCTAGATTCTATATATGGCTAACCAGGACTACATAGTATTCGTTAGATCGAAACTGCTCTATGAAAAGATTCATTCTGGGAACCCTAATTGAAGATCATTTAGACGCGTTTAATTCATCAGCTGTAACTATTCTATTTTTGACGCTGCAGCGAATTTTTCAATTGCTTTTTGAAATCGTAGTTACTAAACGTATTTGTATTTTCGAAAAATTATACATTTTTGTTTCTTACTCTACCTGCAAAATTGAATTTCGACCAAAAAGTTTTTGCTATGAAGTGATGGTAAAGTAACCATTATTTCATACTCAACGATTTAGAATGCTCTGTCCACCAAGGCTGCTAGTTTTGACATTTTTAAATTGTCGATTTAAAAAAATGCGATCTGGCTGTAATCAAGAACGCACAAAAAAGTCACAAGTAACAAAATTCAGTTGTAGGCACATACTCAAAATTGCTTAGCCATTTCAAAGGAATTAGTTTTCAGTATGTTGAAATCTTTTTTGAAGCAAGTTCTTTTTTCT